CAGCCCTGACTCAGCGACCCCTCCTTGGCTTTCCGAGGCAGTATCACTACGGAAGTAGGATTGCCCAACCTTCCTTCCAAGGAGTGGCTAGTGGGTTTGAACCGCCAGCCTTCTGGTTAGCAGTCAAGTGCCTTAGCCACTACGCTACCAGAGAAGTATGGTTTACATCTCAATATAAAGAAAACAAAAATCCTCACAACTGGTCCCATAAGCAACATTACGATAAATGGAGAAAAGATAGAAACTGTCAAAGGCTTAATTAACATTGCTTGGTTCTATAATCGATGTCAATGGAAGCAGTAATCAGGACATCAGACAACATATAGCACTGAGCAAATCAGCTGCAAAAGACCTCTTTCAAGTGCTGAAGAGCAAAGATGTCTCCTTGAGGACTAAGGTGTGGCTGACACAAGCCAAGGTATTTTCAATTGCCTCATATGCATGTGAGAGCTGGACAATGAACAAGGAAAACCAAAGAAAAGTTGATGCTTCTGAGCTGTGGTGTTGGCGAAGAATGCTGAAAGTACAGTGGCCTGTTAAAGGAACTAACAGGTCTGTCCTGGAGGAAGTGCAGCCAGAATGCTCCTTGGAGATGAGAATGGCCAGACTTCGTCTCACATACTTTGGTCATGTTGTCAGAAGGGACCATTCCCTGGAGAAGGATGTCATGCATGGAGGGTCAACGAAAGAGGGGAAGGCTCTCAACAAGATAGATTGACACGTGGCAGCGGACATGGGACTCTAGTATAGCAAGAATCATGGAGCTGGCTCAGGAGCCGCTGATGTTTCATTCTGCTGTGCATAGGGTCGCTATGAGTCAGAGATGACTCAATGGCACCTAACACCACTATGGAAGTAGATTGCCCAGCTTTCTTTCTGAAGAGTGGCTGGTAGGTTTGAACCGCCAGCCTTCTAATTAGCAGTCAAATGCCTTAGGCACTACACTACCAGAGTGTCTGCCAAGAAAGATACAATCTCCCAGTGCAGACTTATACCGGGGCCAGGGTTCAGAATGAGGCACGCGCAGTGAGGAGAGCAGAAAATCAGCCACGGCTAGAGAAGAACTTGGGTAACTAGTGGCGAGGCCCCGCCCCTAAACGTCAACATTCCACACAGCGCCTTTGTACAATTTACCCAAAAGGTTCCTCCTGAAGGTGTGACATAGCTCCTTCATGTCATTATGTTCTCAGTTCTAATGTCACCTCTCCAGCAAGGCCTTCCTGAGCATCTTTCCTAACCTCTAACCTTGCTTCACATGCATAGCACACGCCGACTCCTCAACGTACATTTATTTTTGTACGTGTCTGTCAGGGCCACAATGTATGGTTCCTGAAAGGAGAGGTCTTAACTTTCTCGACAAGCCCTACAATATACGCTCAAAAAGATTTCAGGCAATGCGAAGCCTCCGTTTCTGTTTCTGTGTAACAGGGGTCGCGCTGCCCACCAGTACGCCTCCAGCGGGCGGGATTCATTCCGGAACATTCGTGGGGCGGGGACCGGGACTGAGGCCTGCAGCGTCACGTCCGCCAAATTACCTGTGGGGCTGGGGGCGAACCGCACTCGCACCGTAGCCCCGGGATCAGTACCCAAGCTGGCCTCGTGCCGTCCCACAATGTGACCGAAGGCCGCCAGGAGTCTCCCGGGCCTCAGCAGCCTCTTCAGAAGCACCGCCATGTGGGTTGGAAGCGCACACGTGTGTTTCTTCTCGCATCACTTCCGGACACTCCTCCCAACCAATCAGTCTCCGCCACAGCGACCGCATGCCCGCCCCCTTAAAGTCACAGTCCTCCTTTCAAGAGCGCCCACGCCCCCCTGGACAACTGCAGTTCCATTCCGCCACTAGGGGGCAGAGCCCTTTGAGCTGCGATTTCCCAGTCCCGCCCCCCTCCGGCTCGGGAAAGCTAAAGCGTGGCAGGGGCCGGTCGGGGAAGCGGAGGAGGCGGGTCTCCATAGAAACCTCCACTTGTTTCCGGCCAGGCTGTGCGAGATTAGGGGCTACTGCCGGGGCCAATCTCAGCCACCTCTCCTTTTCCCAGCGGCCTCTGCGTGTGCGGTGGGTGTTGTACACAATCATCATGGCGGCCGCCGGAGCCCCGGATGGTGAGTGTAGAGGGGGTGGCGAACGCCGGGGTAGGGCCGACGTGAAGCTGGTGCAGAGGTAGAGGGATGCGGCCTGCCCGGGGTGGGAAGAACCTGGCCCGGGAGCGGTAGTGTAACGGGGGTCGGGCAGAGTCAGGTCCCAGGCCCAGCCCGCGGCGAGTTCCCACCCCCTAACCCATTTGCAGGCATGGAAGAACCTGGCATGGACACCGAGGCCGAGACGGTGGCGGGCGAGGCGCCCGCGCGGCCTCTCAACTGCGTGGAGGCTAAAGTCGCGGCGGGCGCGGCGGCCGAGGATTCCTGCGCCGCGCGAGGCAGCCTGCAGCCGGCCCAGGCCCAGCCCCCTGGGGACCCCACGGCCCAGGCCTCGGTCAGCAACGGCGAGGACGCGGGCGGCGGCGCTGGCAGGGAGCTGGTGGACCTGAAGATCATCTGGAACAAGACCAAGCACGACGTGAAGTTCCCTCTTGACAGCACAGGCTCTGAGCTAAAACAGAAGATTCACTCGATTACAGGTAATCTCCTGCGTACCTCCCCACCTCTCCTCGTTTGGAGTGTGTACACCGTGCTACGGAGCGGCTGGCCGCTTTCCTTGCGGCAGCTCCTTTAAGCCTCGCAACAGCCTTCCAGAGTAAGTAGTAGCATACCCAACAAGGGGGGGCAGAACGAGCCTCCTGATCACTGAGTTAAGTGCTGAGTAGCTAAGCTGGAATTCAAGCCCTGATCGGAGTCTTAGTCCCTGGCTAGTAACTGGTGTTGTTGCCCAAGCATCTTTAATAGGAATCACCTTAGGCACTTGTTAAATCTGCAGCTCCCAGGCCCTTCCCCTTGGAGATTCTGATTCAGTATGTTTGGGATGTGGCCAGGAATTTACTTTTAGTGAATATCTTAGGCATTTCTCTTAAGGAAAGTTTCAGAAACGCTCCTCTTAGCCATCACACTGGCTCTTTCTTGTTTGTAACATTTTGCATCTGAAACGATTTTTTTTTTTTTTTTTTTTTTAAAATTTTTTTTTTTTTTTTTTTTTTTTTTTGCACAACCTGTCAGCTCCATAGGACCAGGAATTTTTGTTTCTCATTGATCTCTGTATCTCTGATGCCTGTGGGTTCTCAATATTTGAGTGATTGCATGACTAAGGAGCAACTTGCATGAGTGGTAGCTCATATTTATTGAACAAGTACTGTATAGGCAGTCCCTGGGGTACGAATGAGGTCCATCCCTAACTGTGTCTTTAAAAATTTGTACATAAGTCAGAATAGGTGCATACCAGAGCCTTTTCAGTGATCTAAAAGTAGAGGGAGGAGCTCTGGTAGCATAGTGCCTAAGGCACTTGAACCCACCAGCCACTCCTCAGAAGGAAGATGGGGCAATCTACTTCCATAGTGATACTGCCTGGGAAACCCAAGGAAGGGTCGCTATGAGTCGGGTCCAACTGGACGGCACGTAACAACAAAAGTAGAGGGTGGGGGTTGGTTCAGTTGTTTCAAAGTGAGGGCAGGTGTACATAACATTAAAGGACAGGTCAGAGTTGGCTGTAAGTCTTACAGTCTTTACAGGGACTGCCTGTATATCAGGCACTACACTGTGTTTGTCCTATTTTTTAATCCTTCACATAAACCTTATGGAACTACTGTCATTCCTAGGGTAGTTATGGGTGGCACAAATGATTAAGCGCTTAGCTACTAACCACAAGGTTGGCAGTTCAACTCTATGCAGATCAAGGAGAAACCTTGGAAGAAAGGCCTGGAAATCTGCTTCCAAAATTAGCCCCTGGAAACCCTGTAGAGCACAGTCCTGCTCTGACTCTCACGGGAGGGGTCGTGAGTCCATTCAGCTGGATGGCGACTTGCAGTTATCATCTTCATTAGAAAGTCTGGGAAACTGAAGTTGGAATGGCCCATATGCGCCCAGCAAATGAGCAAGCTGTTGCCAAAAGACTCTGGTCCACATACATCTTTTTATTCGTTCCTTTCACTGTCTCTCTTCAACCTTTTCCCAAGGTCTCCCACCTGCCATGCAGAAAGTCATGTATAAGGGACTTGTCCCCGAAGATAAGACGTTGAGAGAAATGAAAGTGACCAGCGGGGCCAAGATCATGGTGGTTGGCTCCACGATAAATGACGTGCTAGCAGTAAACACGCCCAAAGATGCCACCCAGCAGGACGCGAAGGCTGAGGAGAACAAGAAGGAGCCTCTCTGCAGGCAGAAAGTAAGTCCTGTGTGGTGGCTGGTCCTGAGCAGTTGGAGGCTTTGTCCTCTCAAGCCTTGACTGGCTGCATCGCCTAGAATGAGCTCCTTTCCGGACAGGGCCCATGATGGAAATGTATGACAGCAGTTGGGTGCGGCTGGCTGTTGAGTGGAGGTGACAACTACCTGAGATTTGCAACTTTGTCTCATCTGGCGGGTCAGTGTGTCTCAAGTCTTCCTACTTTAGGATAAGGCCTTGGGAAAGGCAGGTTTCTGCCAAGATACTGAAAGGAATCAGATGTTGGTTTCTCCCTCCTTCTCCGAGCCAGAGAAAATGGCCATTCCTGGAATTAAGCCCCCATTTTGCTGAAGTGTTCGAGTTTGTGTTTGGTTTGTGGCTTTTCCCCAAGTCAGCAAGCCCAGTTCCAAGTAGGCCGGGGAATCACAGCTTTACAGGTTCCTCTAAAACGGGCCCTTTGAGGAAGCCACACTGACCAGGAAGATGATCTTTTTTTTCCTCTCTCTCCTGACCCATGAGAAGGAGGCGTAATTTTTTACATTCCCTGTTGTTCGTTTTGGATGGAAGAAATCCAGCCTGGTCTGTGTCCATCGCAGCCATTAAAATGCTTTCTGTGATTAGGAAAGTTGGGCTGTTGTACTGTAGAAGGGGCAGGTTGGAAGGACCATCCCTTGTAATCTCACCACCCAGCAAAGTCCATTCCTAGCCACTCTTCGTAGCATTCCAGGAAAACATACTATTTCATCTGGGTCCTGAGTGGAGTAGGGATCTCTGGTGGCGTAGTGCCTAAGGCATCTGACTGCTAACCAGAAAGCTGGCAGTTCAAACCCACCAGCCACGCCTCGGAAGGAAGGTGGGGCAGTCTACTTCTGTACTGATACCACCTCGGAAACCCAAGGAGGGGTCGCTGTGAGTTGAAATTGACTCGATGGCAGTGAGTAGGTTTTTTGGTTTGAGTGGCGTAGACCACCTTAACCGTCATGAGTTTCAGGGACCATGACACCAGAGCATATGGTCACCAGTGTGAGAAGTGCACCTTCTTGACCAACAGGTCCCTGATCCCTGCGTATGTTCCCCAAACCCAAAAAAGGTCTCAAAGCCCAAGGTGTTTTCATGAGTTTGGAAAACCCTGGCCAGAACAGACAGGCTGGTTTCCAGTCTTGCTTGTCACAATCAATGTAAACATTCTTGTTTTGCTACAGATATGCTAACACTTTGGTAACTTTGGAAACAACTTGCTGCCCAGAGCCCACAGGGATATTATGGAACATTATCTAGAAATCATATTACATTTATAAAGCTTGCAACTCTGAGTTACCAAACGCTTGTCCATAAGGGGTTCAGATAAAGGCCAGTAAACCTGTATTAACATCTAAAAGGTATTTATTCGGACACTTTTCACCCCAAATATGGAGTCAGTGTGTCTTGTAACCAATTGGGTTCAATTCGTTTCCTGTCTTCCCCTGGCACAAGTGTGACATAGTCAGCTATGAGTGTGTCAGACATGAGAAGACATTCCCACTGGTCACACCCTTGAGCATAACATGCCTCTTAAGTACAGGTTTGGAGTTAGTAATGGTAGCTTAGCAGGTCTAGAGCTATTCTCACAGTGCAGGGAACATTCTTCAAAAGTGGTTGCAAGGTATGACTTAATCAGCACCTCAAACCCATGCTTCTTTGTCTCATTGGCACCAGTTATGGAGGGACACAGGTCCCTGGCTTCTCGTTCTGGCGTTGATGTGTAATATGCCAGTCTCTGCCAAAGTCCAGCTGTGTTAAGCCCTTTCCTACCAGAGGGTTTCTGCCGTGCAGCAAGGGCTTGAACTAGCTCCTGGCCACCCAGCGATTAAAGACAATTTTACCCTCTGCCTACGCATTGCCCATAGCTCCAGCTTCACCCAGCAACGTCTCCATTAAAGGGAGAGATGGAGAGGAAACAAAAGTCAGGCATTTGGGCTATTTAAGGGAAGGTGCTCAGAACACTTAGTATAATGGCTCAGCAGCGTCTTGTTCAGCTGGGCTTGGGTGGTGGGCCAGGAGGACTCCCGCAGTGAGACGCTGCTCTGGACATCTGTTGGAAAGTTAGGCCTTCCAGGCAGTTAGGCCAATCACCGGCATCATTGTCACTTCCTTGGGATTTGGAGTTGACAGAAGTGACTACCATTTTGCACCTGCCAGCAGAGCACACCTTGTGTGGTTCTCTTGATGTTGGACCTTTTCAGTGGTGATTTTAGGGAGGAGAAGAGTTAAATAAGGGAGGAGGCTTTATTGGAATTCACAATCCAGAATTCTTTCTGGAACTGAATTCTTTTTAGAGCTTTCTGCTCTGGAACTGCCACGTGTCATAGGTCAGCCCTGGGTGGCTGACAAAAATTCATGATGATAAAGCATTCCACTCCTCCGTGCACCAGCCGCGTTTCACGGCTCGGTAGGCACCAGCGGCCGGTGGTTACCATTTTGGAGGGCACAGATGGAGGGCATTCCCATCCTTGCAGGACATTCTGTTGGAGCCCATTGCTCACATCAAAGGACCCATTAGTTGGTAGATAGCAAAAGCTTTTGAGCCAGAACACTAAGGGTGCTTCATCCTGTGTTTAAGAGGGGCAGCGGTATGACTAACGTGTAACTGCATGGTGCATTGAGTTTCTTCTGACTCACGTTACAGCAACACAGGAAAGTGTTGGATAAAGGAAAACCAGAAGACGTGATGCCGTCACTGAAGGGCGCTCAGGTAAGCCAGGCTCCTTTGTGATCGCTCTGAACATGAACCCGTCCTGCTTTCTGTCTTCCTGAGATTCCTGGAATCACGTCCTGACATCTGGTTCCTTCTTCTCTCCATCTTCGGGCCCTTCCCTCTCCTGCCACGCTTTTGTGTCTCCAGGAGCGCCTGCCAACGGTACCCTTATCCGGCATGTACAATAAGTCAGGAGGGAAAGTGCGACTTACCTTTAAGCTCGAACAAGACCAGCTGTGGATCGGCACTAAAGGTATGTTCTCTCGAGCTCTGTGATGCAGTTCCAGTCACGGCTCTGAAACCCATCTCTCTCTCTGCTGTGTGTGCTTCTGGCTTTTGATTTTGCTTTTAAACACTTGCTTTTGTTTCTCAGTCAGCTCTTAGTGCCAGTCCCTCCAGTGTTGGCTCTTGAGTGGCCCAGAATCACAGGTCCCAAATGTGTGGCCCAGGAGCTACGTCTGGTCAGTGGACAAAGGTTTATGGGTTTACACATGCTTGGAAACAGTTGGGAGATTTCACTTAATCACATTGTTTTTTGCTGGCTTCTCTTGAAAAGTATGGAAAGATGTCATCATTGTGGGCCTGCTTTCTCACATGTCACCAGTTGACTGGAGTGAGTAGTGGTTTTGGAGAGGCCCTGCTACGGCCCCCACCACTCCCATGGATCTTGCGTGTAGCCAGCTCTGTTCACTCGTGGCACCTCCTTAGTTCCTGTAGCTCAGACTTTGACTCTGCTAGGTGACGTTTCCTCCCTGTCTGCCTGGTGGCCTTCTTCCCTTCCCTGCCCGGCGACCTGTGCCCTGCATCTGGATTGGCTGTGCTGGGAAATGTTCTTGACTGTCCTCCCTTCCTGTTCCCCTTCCCTTCCCCCAGTGGCTACAAAGCCTTGCCAGTTACACTCGAGTTGTCTGTGTCCTGTTCTTTCCTATCATCCTGTGCCACTTCAGACAAAACCAAAAAAAAAGCAAACCAATCTCACTGCTGTCGAGTCGGATCTGGCTCATAGCGACCCCTCCTTGGGTTTCTGAGGCAGTATCTCTATAGAAGTAGATTGCCCACCCTTCGTTCTGAGGAGTGGCTGGTGGGTTTGAACCACCAACCTTCTGGTTAGCAGTCAAATGCCTTAGGCAGTACGCCACCAGAGCTCCCAGTGTTTTTAAATCTGATCTGTTGAAAGCATGTTATTCTCTTTGCTTGCCCCTCTCTGAGTTCTTCTTCATCTGGTCCCCTCTTCCATACTGTTCTTTGTCATTGGTTCCTGTGCCCGAAACCCTTTGGCTTTCTAAGGCCAAGTTCAGATGCCTGAGCATAGTGTTCAGTGTTCTCCACGGTGGGGCCCCAGTTTAAGTTTTGACCTGGCTTCCTGCCCAGCCTGCCTTGTTGGACCCTATGTACTTCTCTCCACACCACTCCCTGAATTTGTCAATACGCTTTGCACAGTCCCATGTCTTTGCTTCTGCCAGGCCCTTACCTGGAATGTCTTCTTTTCATTCCTTATTATTAATAAAATCTTCCACGGCCCATGGCCCAACTGAAACGTCCTCTCCCGATGAAGTCTTCCCCATTGTCTCCGTCACTGCACCCCCCAAATGACCTGCTGCCGCTGTTCTCCATAAAACGTGCCTTCTGGCCCCGGAGCGTTCGTCACTGACCTGCTTGTCCCCTGTTAGATTCCTGGAGGGAATGGAACGTGCCTGGTAGACCTGTTTCTGGCCGGCACTGTAGGTGTTCAGTGTGAGAGGTAAATGCTAAGGAGAAGCATGGTGCTCCCATTCTCGGCTGTTCACTGGCTTCAGAGACAGGCCGTTTGATGTGCAAGGACTTAATGGGACCAAAGTTTATGGGAAATAATTGGGAGGGGTGCTAGGAAGGGACAGTTCATATCTGAAACATGAGATGGAATTTCTCAGTTTCCACCCTGTGCTGGTTCTTAAATGAGTAGACTGAGATGCCAAAGCGCTTCAGCTTTCTAACAAATTGGCACTAGCTTGCTATATTCTTCATCTCACCTTTACTCTAACCGCATGGTCCAAGCAAGTTTTCCGAAACACTAAGGGCTTCCCCAGTCTTCCAAGGGACCCTCTACCGGTCAGGTCACCCCCTTGTCCTTTCCTCTTGGGTTGTTAGCTGCCCTGCCTCTGCCAGGGTCACTGCAGGTGGTTCACTTAGTTCTCCATCATTCCATTGACCAGCTGACATCCCACCTCTCGTGAGACTTCGCCTATCCCCCAAGTCAGTGAAGACTGACCCAAAAGGACAGTGGTGACTGGGGGTAGGTGTGGTGTTAAAGGAGGGCCAGATGTCTGGAGAAAGCAAGTCTGTAAGTGGTCATTGGTTCCTTAGGAGATGCTCGTGGTGCGAGGCTATGTAGGAAACACATTATAGCTGCAGAGACAGATAAGAGTGGGAGCCTCCTGTGCCTGAATGGCAGGGTTGGTTTTCACTGAGAGGAGTAACTGCCTTCCCATTTTGACACAAATGCAGAGCTTTGGAACAGTCTTGATGCATCAGGGCTTCAGAGCTATTGAAAGTTTCCTCACTGCCAGCCTCAAAGACAGGCCGTGGGCTTCTTGTATCTTCAGAGGCTGACCAAGGCTTTAAGAGTTTGACATTTGCATTCCCACCAAGACTGCTGTGTCGCTGGATGTCAGCTCATGGGGGCAGGCGCTCCCCTCTGACATGCCCAGGAGTCTTGTCACTTGAGTGTCAAGCACTGTTGGAGGAGGACAGTTTGTTCAGGGAGTTGGCCACTAGCCGCCAGCTTCATCTTTTCTCCTGGCAAGAAGCTACTGGGAATTGGCCAGCCCAGCAGCCAGTTGGCTTCCTGATGGGGGTGTTTTACTGTGTGAGCTGCTCAAGGGATCGTCCTGACGGCTTAGTCGCTCCGCTCGGAGGTAGCTTGTGTAGGCGGCAGTCCTAACAGCCTGTGGCACAAAAGAGCAAGAAGCGGAGACCCCAGCAGGTCACATAACGTGGGGACGCTGCCAGGAAAGGGCATTGTCCTTGTGCATGGGGAGCAGTCGAGTCTCAAACCTAGCTGCTTGCTGTCATTCAGGAATGTGGGCCCAGGATGGCTAAATCTTAGGAGCTTTCAAGAGAAGCCAGTAACCAGATTTTGTGTGAAACCTGCGGACATTTCAAGGTGACAGGCACGGTTAAAAGTTGCCACCTTCAAGATGACTGCTGGTCAGGCAGTGTGTAGAACCACCGAAAGTCCATACCTAAGTGAACATCCTCGGGTCCCATTCCCTCCCACTTGTTTGTGGGATACCCATGGAATGGAAGGCAAACGCCTCAATTCACCAGCTACACTAGAACCCAGGTCTTGTCAACCTGCCTGTTTCAGTGCCTTTTTCAGGCTTTTCTTTCTGAAAAACACTGTAATGAGGATTTTTTTCCAAGTTGATTTAGTCGTTTGCTGAGAACGGTGAGCTGGACCCGAGGTCTCTGCTACTTGCAGGTGGCCACGTCCTATTGAGCAGGGCAGGGCTTCACACCCCTGCTGTCACCCCCCACACCGCTCTGTACACCAAGCTCGCGGCAGGCCTCCCTAACTGCCCGGTCTTTCTTACTCACCGTTCTCAAAGTTGCTGCAAAGTGTCTTTGACCCCATGTGATGAGCAGTACCTTGAGTTTATCAGAAGAGCATATCAGCATCTTAAGGGATTTTCTTAAGTGTGTGTAAGGGGGTGGGGGACCAGGGGGTTGTCAGGGAGGGTGTGGCGGGGATGAGTGAGCAGGATTGCGGGAGAGAAACGTCTTAACCCCCAGGCTCTCCTCCTTCCTCGTGAGCGCCATAGTGGGGCACTGCTGGCTCTTGGTTCTTGGTCCTCTTGACTGTCCCTAAGCTACACACCAAAGACCTCAGCCCGTGCTGGGTTTTGGCAGTAAGGATACAAAGGAATTCGCTGTGTATTTATTCATCATCAGACTTCAAAAAATAATCCCAGGAAAGAGCTACATCCCTGCCCTCAGAGCCTTGGTAGACCCGTAGCAAACCCTGTTTCCCATTTGCTCCCAGGAAGTTCCCAACTCCTGCTAACGGCACTAGTCAGGAGATCCTGCCACTTTGTCCCTAGAGGGCAGGGCATGCGGGCCTCGGAGATCCCACAGCCCTGGCTGTGACGAGGGCCTGTTGAATCCCAGCCGGAGGGAGGGCCTTTGATTAATCCCTGTCCCCTCTCTCACCTTAGAGCGGACTGAGAAACTGCCCATGGGCTCCATCAAAAACGTGGTCAGTGAACCCATCGAAGGGCACGAAGACTACCACATGATGGTGAGTAGCGCCAGCCGGGCTGAGCCGCGGGCGACTCCCGCTCTGTTCTCGCGGGCAGTGGATTTCTTTCTGCCTGGGCTTTGTAACTGAGAGGCATCCGTCTTTGGCAGGCACACTGTTTCAAGACCCTCGTGTGTTCCTCAGCTCCTAGAACTTGACCCATGACCCTTTTCCAAGTTCTATTTATTTTGTAGCCCCTGCCCCTTCCAGCCCTTTAAAGAGGAGGAGTTTTTCTCACATCTCTTCCAGAAATGTCTCTCTTGCTTCCCTCTTACTTGTAACACTTTGTTTTTAGACCAGGAAAATAAACGTAAAGAGGAGGAACGGCTTCTGGGTTGTTCTTTAACATTTTGTCTCGCATCTGAAAAGCAGAGCTTCCCCAGCCTCGGTGTCTGTGAGGACCCCAGGCGCTCCCTCTGCTGAACGGTCGTCCTCCCCCCAGGCCATAGCCATCACGTCTGAGGACCCCCTGGGAGGACAGCCTGTGAGACATGTGTTGGGCAGAGGAGTCCACTCTGCAGAGAGGGCAGGCCAGGCCTCACCACCTTTCCTGAGGCAGGATGGGAGGATTCCCCCCGTGGGCGACGGGAGCAGCCTAGACACACCCCTTCTCTTTTTCCACACGTTTGGAAGGGCCACTTTAAAATGCATTTCAGCTACCTAAACTCCTCGAGTTGCTGTGGGTACCGCCACCTGACCTGAGCAGGAAGTGGGCGAGGGTGAGATGCTGTTGGCCGTCTGGGGAGGAGGACCTTTCAGTGTGCAGCCAGTGGGGAGGTATGTACGTAGGCCACGTCCCCAGGGAGGGAACCGCTCTCTCATGGTTGGCATCACACAGTCACAGTGGAAGGATGTGTTAGGAGATGCCAAGAGAAGGGACTCAGGCATTATAGCAGTTCTATCTTGGGCAGGTGGCAGGTCCCCTCCCAACAAGGAAAAATCAGTCGAAGGGGCCTGAATTTTGGTTGGTCAGCAAGCCAGTGGTGTGCCCTGCCCTGCCCTTTTTATGTTTGCTAGCTTGGTACCAAAGCTGGGCCAGGGTCGCCCGGTCGGGATTGCGGTCCCAGGGCTACGTAGCCCCTGGGTGTTTTCCTTTTCAGGTGGTGACTGGCCTGCTGGCGGCCTTAACCGCCCCGGGTTCTGGGTAGCCTTTAAAACAAGGATGGGACAAGGTATTTTTGGCTGCGCCCTTCACTCCTCTTTGGGACGTTTTCCCAGTTTGGCTCTGAAGAGTTTATGACTCCAGTCTTCAAGCAGCCAGGCTGGAGGAATTTAAAACAAGCTAAGCAGACCATTTTGAATATATTTCAAGGAATGGTGTGGACGGGCAGGGCCTTACCATTTAGGCTGAACAATGCTTTCTGTCTGGAAGCATTTGTGGCAGATCATGAGCCTAAGAGCCCACTTCTATTTTCTAAACACAAGAAAGACCCACCTTTACCTGTGTCCTATACTGAAAGTCTGTTCCCAGCCTTTTACAGGTTAGCTAGATTGACACTGTATCAGAGTTCACCTTAGAAACATTTTAGAGAAATATTTAAAAATATAGAAAAACATGGACAGCACTATAAGGAACCCACATATCCATCACCAAGGATTGACTTTATATAAATATTTTGTAACCTGGCTTTGATAACGGAATTTATTTTAAATAAATAAAACTGACCAGCAGCGCCGCCTTCCCTGTTGTCCCCTGCCCCTGTCCTCATTATCGTGAATGTAACGTGTGCCCTTCCCGTCGGTCTCTGCTTTCCTTTCCATGTATGGCCACAAACAACATGGAGGAGTGGTTTGTGTTTTTTCACTGGAAGTGAATGGGATCTTGGTCTGTGTCATTCTGCACCTTGATTTTGTTGGTTGCACATTACAATCTGTCCACATTCTCTGTAGATGCAGTTCACATCTCTTCAGTGTAGGCTAGTGCTCATCTGAAGAGGCCACGCCACCTGTAATCGAGCATCCCCTGAGCAGTTGGGCTGTAAGTTGCCTCTGGGTGTTTATGATTTCCGGCAGTGCTGTTTCAGGCATGCCTGTCCCTCGTGCAGGTGGGCACGTGTCTCTAGGGCGGCAGTTCTCAGACGCTGTCTCTGCCCCAGGCCTGGAGCGGCACCTGGGAACTTGGTAGAAATGCAAGTTCTTGGGCCCCAGACGCCCTGAATCAAAAACTCGGGCATGGAGCCCAGCAATCTGTGTTTTAACCAGCTCTCCGGATGATTCTGATGGAACCTCAAGTTTGAGAACCGTGAGAGTTGGCTGTGCTTAACTCGCTTTTTTTTTTTTTTTTGACTTGTTAGGAGAACACGGCCCCTGCACCGTTTGTTGTTGCTTTCCCTTCCCTTTTAAATGAACTCGCCCTCCCCACCCCACCCTTCCTTGTTCCTCTCCTTCCTTTAGTCTCCGACCTCTGAAGGACTGCTTGGTTTTCCTTTTCTCCCTTCCAGGCATTTCAGTTGGGCCCCACGGAAGCCTCTTACTACTGGGTGTACTGGGTTCCGACTCAATATGTGGATGCAATCAAAGACACTGTGCTGGGGAAGTGGCAGTATTTTTGAAAGCACTTTCACCTCTGGCCCAGGAGACTGACCCAAAGTGAAGGACATTGCTGGGAGAGGCCTGCAGCAGCCCCGGATTTCGCGGTTCTGGAACTTTGTTCAAAACAAATCTATACCCAATCTAAGGCGATGTGGTGACTGAAGCCAGAGGTGATGTACTTTCACCCTTAGCTTATTTTAACTTAAAATGACCGGTTCCCATTCTCGCAGTCAGCTTCATACCATTTTGAAAGTCAACACGGTGGAAATCAATAAATCTGCGTTTGGAATGTGTTGTGTGGCATACTCCTAAGTGTGTTTAAAAGTAGATCTGCCGATTCTGTTTAGATGGGAATGATCCAAAGCTTTCGGGGTTTTTAAAGAAGTGATTTCAATGGAAATATTTTCATAAACCTTTGGTTGCTAACATTTGGACTGCATTGTGATAAGTTGGGGTGGTTTTGTTTCCCGTTTTTCTCTTAAGAGATTGTATGCAAATCGGGGGGTTAGTAAGCCATATTTTTCTGTCCATTGATTCAGACTTAATTTTCCTTCCCTTATTTTCTCACTTCGTAGGTTTGAATTTTTATTTTAAAAACCCAAAGATCTCAGCCCTCTTCTTGTACCTCATCAACACCTCCCTTCCTGGGCTCCCTCCCACCGCACTGCTGCTCACGACAACAGTGGGCACTGGCGGGAGCCAGCAGAGGGGCTCTTTGATCTTGGTCAGGGAGCTCCCACCCTCGCTGTGGCGTTCGTGGGCCAGCAGAGTGTCTGAGAGTGACTCCTGTCTGTCTCGCCTCGGGCCCTGATCTCTGGGGAGTTGCCCTGCTGGCTCGACAGCTGTCTGCTGCCCTCACTCACTCGGCTTTGAGGCCCAGCTTGGCCGTGCCTGGGCTGTGCTGCTGAAAAGCCATGGCTCCCACGCAAACAAAGGCTTCTTCGAGCCAGGTAGGAGATAGCTCAAACAGCCATATAGCCACCCAAATACCGTCTTTCCTTGGAATTTGTCCAGAAATCGTTCAGCAGTCCAGTGATTCCTCCAGTTTCGCTTCTCCATGTGGTCCTCCTGCTCATGCGTTCAGTTCAAGCGTCCTTTATCCCAGGTTCAGAGATGCTGCTTTCTGAATGAGAAGACATCGCACCCCAGTGGGTTGGCTGACGTACTTAAACGATGAAAATGGGATAAATCGCTTTCACGATTCAGTCGCCCTCCTCTGGTTTTAGCTCTTACGTTCTTAGTACACATGAACTTCTCTTGTCTCCTGGTGGCTTGATTGATTCTGAAACAAGGGGAAGCCTCTTGGTGGGTCGTTGCCCTTTGTGCTGGTGGCCCTTCCCTCTGCCGCAGTCTTTGTGATTCTCCTCTCGCTGGTTGCAGGCTCTCATAGTACAGTCTGATGAGCGATTGACCGGATTCATGTTTGGATTTTAGGCTGTCAGCCCTCGCTCTGTGCAGTGTATCTGCATGCGTTCGCCTGAGGTGACTTTCCCTGTGAGCCAGTTAACAGTGGTATTCCACACCCTTCCCTTCTAAGCTGTAGTTCAGGAATCCAGCCCACGTAGACCAACTGTAGCGTTTCATGGTGTACTTGGTGCCCGGGTCTGCCTCTGGGCGGGAGAATCTCCCCTTGTTTTTGTGGAGACATACGTACATGCGTGAAGTGCAGCATCTGTCAAAACGGCCTGTTTTTCACCCCTCGAGAAAGGAGCAGTCGCCGTAGCTTTTCTGCCCTGCTGGCCTGTGGTTCCCGGAGGGGAGGCTGCCGTGTCACTGCTTGTCAGCGCTGCCCTCTGCGGTGGACGGGACTGCAGGGGAAGTGACCATGTAGCCAGTGGAGCGTCTCCTCAGTCCACACGCTGCCCCGACCTAGAGACGTGCTCTGACGTGCCACGCACCCCAGCCAGGTGTCTCCTCCCCCGTGACTGGCCTCCTCCCCAGTTCCCATCACTTGCCTTGTCGGAGTGGCTCCCGGTGCCATCTGACATCCCTTCCACCCGGTGAGAGCATGTGTGCCACCGTCTCCCAGCTCCCCGGGAGCCCGTCCGCTTCTCACTCAGGCTGGTGTCATCCACTTCAAGACAGGACCAAAGCCTGCGTGAGCCTTTTTATTTTCAGTGAAATGGTGCTTCTTTCCTTACTTCAAGGTGATATATACAAACAGTACTGTAAGTACAGCGCTGTTTTGAGTGTCGCTTTACAGAGCTCACGGAATTTGCTAGAACAATCTTGAGCTCTGGCTCCTGACCCTGTGTGTGGAGGACCTAGCTATGAGCTGGGAGAGCAGAAGCCACTGGGGGAGAAGTGTTTGATTGAGAGCCGTGTCTGGGGCACAGCGGTATTCACTCCTTGGTCATACTGTCCATGACTGGTCTCTTCGTCCGTGACTAGTCTCTGTATTTTTCTCACAGTCAGAATATACTGACTAAATCCATGTAAGCGGGTGGAAACACTCTTCCCCTTCGGTAGCATAACAGTGTTGGTTTCTCTCTCAGGATTCTTTCTATAGTTTCTTCACTCTCTCCTTTCATCTGTCAGGATTCCGGTTCTTTCCTTGAGCTAGTGATGTTCCCTTGCTGTGGCAGAGGGCGTGCAGCTGGATCTAGGAGGCACGGGGCCCAGTGGAGAGACTCTCGTGTGCGTTTACCTGACGCTGGAGACTGAGGCAGGGCCTGCTTGCCGCTAGGGGGCCAAGGGGGCTGCCATCGTGTCCATGTTGGACACCTCACTGGTCCCGCTGATGGCTGCTGCTTTTAGAATTTGTCCTGGTGATCCTCCTGCAGCTCTTCGCTCGCAGACATCATGCATTTTTTTTGCCCCTCCCTGAGGTGACTTGGCAGAAAAATGACAACAGAGTACCTGCAAAGGCCTGGTCCCCCTCAACTCTGTCTCAGGCCATTTGGAGAACTGAGAAAAGACGGACTCTGAAATTGCTCAAACTCTTCGGTATTAAGTATTTTAACTAAGGCTGGGCCCTTTGCAAGTAGTGTTAGCTCTTTTTAAATGAAGTTTAACTGAACTAAGGATGCACTTTCTTAGAGTCTTGTGGACATAGTAGGGGCCCAGATGAGGCCTTCAGTAGGCTCCTTAGGTGATGCTTTATCTTATGAGGGCCAAAGAGATGAACTTTGCCGTGTTGCCAAGTCTCTGAGAAGCTGCCGTATTTCAGCCAGAAGGGGCTTGCTTCCTTCTTCCTCTTATTTTAACCATGTGCCTGGAGGGGCCGCCGGGCCCTGCACTCGGCCCGCCTTGCTCTGCCTGGGGCGGGCAAGGAAAGGGGCTAGGTCACATGTGCCAAGGCCTGTGCGGGGCAGGCTTTCTTTCCATCCCATCTTCTGAGGGAGCGCTCTCTCTCTTGCCGCTTGCCTGTTGTCTTGGACAAGGACGGTCCCTGGTTCTAAGGCTTTGTGATGAAAGTCCTGTCCAGTTAGGGTTGGCATCCTTTCCCTTCTTAATCGGGCCCGGTGACTCTTCTGAAGTTACAGGTGGTCAGGAGTCCTTTAACATTCAGGACATCGGGTAGATTCACCTGCCAGGCTGGGTATTTCTACTGCTTTCTAAATTTCTGAGACCCCCTTTTCCTTCCTTAAAGAGTTCTGCAGAATTATTTGACAATATATGTAAGTATCATGTTTCCTTGTGGTGTATGCTCTGTTCTGGTTTTTGTTTTCAATCACATGCCTGTTCGGGAGGAGATGAACGTATTTAGTCTATTAGATTTGAGCTGCTGGATTTTTTTTTAAGTGTAACCTTGACTAGCTGTATTATTGTTTATCCTGTAAGATTAGCCTATCAATTAAAGTTTGATAATTAATTGCGTCTCTTTTTCCTTCCAATTCTTCACGTACCTAATCCATGCTGGGGATTGACCAACATTTGGAACTGGGCCCAAAGCCATGTTTTTGCCTCCTGTGATTTCCTGTGTCCCTGTCTTATTTATTGGCCTTAAGTATATACAAATTTGAGAGCCCTGATGGTGCTGTGGTTAAGTGCCCTTCTGCTAACCAGAAGGTTGGTGGTTTGAGCCTACCAGCCGCTGTACAGGAGAAAGATGTGGTAGTCTTCTTTCATAAAGCCTTCCATGGAGATTTACAGCCTTGGAAACCCCGTGGGGTAGTCCTGCTCTGTCTCATAAAGTCGCCATGAATCGGAATTAACTCAACAGCACTGGGTTTAGTTTTTGGTTTTATACCCAGATTCATTTTTCACTGAGAAGAGTGAATGAAGGGTTTGGACTTTTTTCACTTTGTATATTCATAGGGGCCAACCTGACAGCAAGCACCCAGTGCTGGGGCAGCCCTCCCTGGCCTGTTCAGCCTCCACAACACTGCAAAGGAAGCTGTCTCCCCTACGGACTAGGTGCCTCATGTCAACCCAGCCATGTAGCCTTAGAGCACACGTGTAGTAAAACTTGAGAACAGACCTACAGCTCTCGTCGCAGGCCATCAGGACCAAAGGAGGAAGAGACAACTGTAGCAAGATCAGGGCCAAGACTTGCTCCTTAGTTTGCCAGAGCTGGCTTTGACCCATCACCTCTCCACTGGACCATCTCCCTCCTTCCCTACTTTGGAAATGCCCCTGAAGGTTCTGTTCTCTCTCCACCCTTCCTAGCAGGAGAAGAGAAGGAGGGTCCACTCTGCCGTTTTCCCACTTGCTCATGATCCTGAAGCAACACTGCTGGATACTTAATGAGAAGAGGGCAGAGCTCACACTGTCCGTTGACTGCTGCCCACTTAAGAGAATTTTCTGTTTGCACAGTGGGCACGTTAGGATTTGATCCCAAGTATTTATTTGAGGCACCTTAAAAGTAACAGGCTGATTGACTTCTCTGGTGGAGAGTACAAGGAGCCCCCGTCTAGTCTGAATATTTTCCCATACCTGTTGGGGCGATGTCTGAGTATTTTCTCAAATGTAGGTACCTAAATTTGGGTGGGGAGCTCTTAGTGGCCTAGTGCCTAAGGCACTTGACTGCTAATCAGAAGGCTGGCGCTTCAAACCCACTAGCCACTCTTCGGAAGATGGGGCAATCTACTTCCGTAGTGATACTGCCTCGGAAACCCAAGGAGGGGGTCGCTATGAGTCGGGTCTGACTCCACCGCACATAACAACAACAACAACAACAAAGTGGGTGGGAAAGAGAAAACAGGGACCCCACAAACCAGACAGTCATAAGAGTAAGAGGTACCACCTTCCGACTTGCGCCCCATTGCGTCTCGCCCATCTGTGCTGTGGGAAGTTGAGATGCTCCTGACCCAAGAGACCTGTGCCTCCATCACGTGG